GCGGGGGGAACTGTGCAAAAAACGCATCCTCGTACCGGCAGCCGGTACGCTTTCGACTAGGTTTTTAATTTTTGGACTTCCAGGACATAGCACTGTGTTTTTTTTAAACTTTCACATTTAAGTTTTTCCAGGCAGATTATTTATCGTTTTTAAATGTGTTTGAAGAATGAATATTTGTATGTGTATGATGTGTAAAGAATGAATATGTTGTGTATTTAAAATGTGTATAAAGAATGAATATGATAGTAAAAAAAATTGTATAAAGGGTACGGCAAATGAGACAAGTCCAAGCACCTCAGAAGCATTCATAAGCTACGCTAAAATAAGTTGCTTTCGAGCCTTTTACGCCGCATTTTAATTTTTATTCACTATTTTCAGGTGTCATTGGGCGTTTGTAAATTCAGTTGCAGCGAGCAACAGCGACTCTTTCGTACCATTCGCAAATCGAATCGATCGTCTGCTTCGGAATAAGGTTGTTATTGATCAACGAACTGTAAAGTGTAAACTGTGTACGGATTATGCTGCCTGTTAAAAGACTTTTTTGAAGTGTTTTAAGAGTTTCCTAAGCTATGTAATTCACTAATAACTTGTTTTTCAAACACTTCCTTTCCGTTCATTTTCTAAATTCGGTTCTTGTTGGTTTTTTATTATCCATGTTCACCTCTCCCCTTACTTCTTGAATGGGAAATGTTTCAGACCGAAAGGGATCCTAGTTTCGGGAAAGAATCGGTTGACGTAAAACACCAAACAGCTCAGAGTAGAACCTTTTATCACAGTGACTCACCTACCCGGCCTAGTCAACTTTTCATCAGTTATTTTTAGTATGGTCATCTGACAGCCAACGATCGGAAGCTGATATCCGCCTCGCTGGTTAACGTTAAAACGCTTACGAGCTTTAGTGAACTACGCGCATTCTTCTTGGCGCTTGCAACTCAGAACAAGACTCTGGCATCACAGTCTTCCTTCGACAAGGTTTGAACCGAAATTTTGATGTGCTTTACCGCTGTCAGTAATTAATATCTGTTTTGAGTAGCGGATGAGGTCTAGTTATGAGGTACCAGGAAGGCTCACAGGTTTAATGTTTGGGTTTACAGTTGGTTTGCAAGACTTTCGGGTCAAGGAGTTTGTTAAGCAGTGAGGGGCTATTTTAACAGTGAGAGACTATTTAAAATTTTGTTTTTTTTTAAATCTTTGTTCTATTCTTGAATGTTTTTCAGCATGACTGTTTTAAGAATTATATTTATACCTTCCTCACGGCTGGTAGTTTCTGAAACATTCCATATTAGAAATTTTTACTGAAATTTGTAAATTTTTGAAGGTCATAAATGCGCAAAGTACCGGTATAGTTGTAACTTTGGTCTTTGATCATAAATTCACTTCTCGTTCCCTCAGTCATCCTAATTTTTAAAATTTGCCCCTTTATACTTGATGCTTTCGTCGACCGTTGTATTATCGCAGCACACAGTCAGTTGTGGTCGGTGTTATAACTTACAGTCAGTTGTTTTCACCCGCTAGCATGTCAGCTCTCTTTTTGGAATTTCATTTTTGTTCTTTTTTTTTCGAAGAAAATTGCTTTGTTGATTGCATTTTTACTTGTGTGATTCCCTAGATCCTCCACTTGAAATCCTGTGGTTTCACCTGTAGGAGGGATGTACTGGTTGTCACTCGTTTCGTTCTTTTTCCGCTTTTCTATTAAAAAATGCTGGGCATCTCGTAGTTTTGCTTATAAGTGAACT